CCATTCTATGATTCTATGATTCTAAATAAAATGCTTATCATGCATTGTTGCACAATGTCTTTAACAGCACTCAGGCAGTTACTGAAGCACCTACATCTTCTGCAATTAAACAAAGTAAAAAAAAACCAAAAAGTTCTAACTAAATAGAAAACCAAAAAAAAAACCCCAAAACCACAAAAATCACAGAAGACTCAATGCCACTTGTTAACTTTATCTTTTTACTTAATGTCAGAGAAATGATATATCATTTAAGAGAAGTGTGGCTGTTGCTGTGTTCTTCAGGTACTATAGAGGTGTTCTTGATCCTGGTGATAATGCTATTTCAAAAAGAGTTGGTCAGACTCAGTTTTAGCTGTTATTAAATTTTAAACTATGTTGACAAGAACCTTGCAAAATATCTATTTTTGCGTCCTTTGTTGTATGGAAGCATTTAATTCTCCTTCCCTATACTGAAATGATTTGAGAAGTTGGAAGCACTAAGAGTTTTGCCTTCTTGGGACACTATGTGCAGTCAAGGAAATCCCATTATTACAAATAGCTGGAGCAGGGAAATGTCGTATGTGTCCTAAACTGTTTCTCAGGTACTAATTTTTGACAAATGTCAGAAGACAGGAGTATGAGTTACAGTAAACTTTGTTCCATTACAGCTGCTCTAATATCGTGTTAACCTCACTGCAACTACCCAGCTAAGAATTTACCTAGCTAGTAAACAGATGTAATACCTATGATATTTGCAGAATTTGTTGTGCAAATTCTGTCCAACCAATTACCACTGTTTTAAGTAGCGGATCAATAAGAGAATTATTAGAAATACATCAAAGAAGGTTTTCTTTCCTATCTGAGGATCCTGTCCTTTCCTCAGCTGAAAGAAGCAATAGCTCTATGCTTTTAAAATTATTAAAGGAAGTTGTATTTTATATATTTGAGGCAGCTTTCAAAGAAAGGAACCATAATTGGTTCCTCTCCCAAATTAGGATCTTAAAAGTACATTGTTTCTGAAGTACAGTCAGTGGCTGTTCTTTTTTATCACATGGTCCAGTTTTTCTTCTCTCATGTAATGCTTGAAACTTAATCACTCATTTTAGGTGATTGGCTCATATGATGTGGTGTTGTATTTGTTCACTGTAATAGATCTGTTTCTGAAAAATGTTATGGTAACATGGCTTCTTTGGTCTCAAAGAGTAGCTTCTGATTAACAGCCAGCACATAGGGTTTATTGGCTGGAAATCTGAGACAGTTATTTGTATCCTACTTGATTAGCCTGCTTACACAGTGCACAAAAATGTTTTCTGTTCTCTGCTAACCTTTGCATATAACACACTCACAGACCTGAGACTTCCTGTTAGTATTTTTTCTATTCACTGCCAGGTCACTGAATTCTGCAGAGAACTTTACAGCCTTGCATAGTACTAGTGCCATGACAGACTGAAGTGTTAAAGCAAAACTGTGAAACAAACATGCTGTTTTTCAAAGCCAAAAAATGGTATGGAGGGAAAAGGAACTGAATATAATTGCATTTTCTTTCTTTCTTTTCATTTTCCTTGTTAAAACCTTCTCTACCAAAATATCTTGCCAACTTTTGAATTTGGAGTTTGATGTCAAGGATTACCCTGAAGTCCTTCAGAAAATAACATTTATTTTCAGCAATAGCAGACCAGATAATAGATGGTGGTAAAAGATGATAAAATCCTCTCCTGTCTCAGCTCAATTAACTTTTACTGAAACTTGACTCTGAAAATATGTGGAAGACTAAAATTAGCTGTCGAGGTATATTTAAAGGATTTTGTGTTAATTTAACATCAAATGAGAACAGCAAGTAATATCTCTGATGCTGCAATGTCCCGAATTGTCATGATTTCACCACTGTAAGACTAATGTCTAGCTGCTGACTTCTCATCTTATACTCAGGAAATGCTTTTCAGTTAGACTGCATGAAGATGAGTGATGAGAGAACTGGGCCCAGATGTTCCATTGTAGTTATTTCACTACAACTAATGACCTTGACTTGCTAGAGAGATGTTAATTTCTGGACTATATCTGACACCTGTACTAAGAGACTGCAATGTGGGTTTTTTTGGTTTTTGTTTTTGTTTTTGTTTTTTTTTTTGTGTGGCTGTGCTGATCACAGAAGGAGGACAGACTGATGTTGAGAGACCTAAAAGTGTGGGTAGAACAATTTGAAAGAGACTTAGCCCGAGCACAGGTGGCAGAAACCAGCTTACAGGAAAAATACCAGGTAAGCAGTAGGGAAAATCTGTATGAAAAGACATTATTTTCATCATTATGTGCAACATGTACTTCGGTATTTTATACAATCTGTATATGTGCAAGTCAATATACTGTAGTTTAAAGAAATAAGGACACAAATTATCTTGCTTTTTATTGGTGGAGGAATTATAATGTCAGCTCCAGCTTTGCTACGTAGAACAGTGCACAGATGGTTTGCCTAACACTGTGCTTTTTCTAGCAGTGTGAAGAAGGACTGTCCTAGTTAGAAGTGAGCATGTGTCTGTACAGTCCTTCCAGATCCTGCATGATATAGCTCAGATGGGAGGTATGACTGAGGCTGGATGAGGTGACAGGTAGAGAGGACAGGGCTTAGAGCTTCATTTTTAACCTCTCTTTCAAAGGTTAGTATCTAAATTGGCAACATAAATTTTGTCCTAAATTTTCCTTCGAAGCTCGGCTGTTCTCTAAAAGCAGCCACTGTCTGTCCCAAGTAGTATTTAATCCATTTGCTAGTTTATTTGATCAATTATTATTTCCTTTCATATAGGTTTCAGGCATCTGAAAACTGAAGAGAAATATGAAAGTCCTACCTATATTTTCTTGGAGGACTTACAATCTATTAAAGCCTTTAATAAAATGCATTTCAGTGTAAATATACAAGTCTACTACACTCCTCTTTCAGAAGGATTAGGACTTCTAGCAGTACAAAATTGTCATAGGTTGTAGTACTCCATAAATGTTGAAGAATTTCATTCTTTGATTCTGTACTACATTGATCTGATTTTCTCTTTGTGCAGTCATTTAAGCATTTCAGAGTACAATATGAGGTAAAAAGGAAACAGATTGAACTTGTGACTCAGTCATTAAGGAAAGATGGTAAATTGTCACTTGATCAAGCTATGGTGAAGCAAGCGTGGGACAGAGTTTCTTCTAGGGTAAGTTGAAAATATTATGCTCTATATTTTTTATTAAATGAAGAATGAGAAATTAGAATCATTTAGACACCTGTTTGCTCTTGTATTTATTAGGCATTAAGAACCTAAAAATGGACCAAATTTCTGTCACTGTTGAATTATTTTGCATTTATTTTGAGAATATTTACTGCACTATCATCTTTAATACTGCTTAAAGACAGAATATGAACTTTAAGAAAAGGAGTATACTTTGAGTATTTGAAAGTGTGTTAAGAGTTCTTAGCCAAGTTCAAAACATTGTTTATAAAAAGAAAAACGTGCATAATGCTTCTTTGAAATGCAATATTTTAATGTAAATTGCTAGTTACCTGAGAAATTCTAATATAATATTTTTCACTACAACTAAAAAAAGTTTATGTGTAATACTGAATACTTTATAAATCAATGGGGCTTTAATGCTATTTTTTTAAAGATTGCAATAGTAATAAATTAATATTAGCATTTGTGATAGTAATTTTGTAACAATTGAATGAAAAATCCCAAGTGAGTTATGTTTGTTCCAAATAAGAAAATCCCAAGTGACTTATATTGTTTGTCCCAAATAAGAAGTTATTAAATCATTACTACTCAGTGTATATGAATGGATTTTTTTTTTAATGTAATATATTTACAGAGCAACTGTTTAAACATATTCTGGAGTTTTGAAATATTTTTTGTTATTTTTCACTCTCTGCGATTGCCAGTATGACACAGTATTTTGCTGCTGCATTCTCAACTCCACAATCCTTTGAGACTCATTTACACTTTGCACATAGAAAATATGTTCAAAATAAAGATAAAAAGATTTTATGCAAGAGCATGAAATAAATTACATGGGGTGGAAGGAGGTCTCACATCCCTTGCTGTGCCTATTAATTGATGAAGTTCCAGCTCTTTAGCTTGGCAATTGTTCCAGTTTGTATGTGGTCAGTTCTGTAACTCAATTACCATTCTGGAAGGGAAATACATGAGTCAGCAAATAGTTATGGAGATTTTGTTGCCTGTGAGAATGCTATAATTTCAGTACTAACGTGAAGAAATATACCTAGGTTTAAGTCTCAAACATGGTCTGTTATGTGGGGTTTTGGTCTTAAAGTATAAAGTCTGTTTTTTTTCAAGATATTTGTTTGTCTGCTTAAGCAAGGAAGGAAGTTTATTTCTCTTACTTTTATTTCCTAGCTACTTGATTGGCACATACACCTTGATAAATCTCTTCCTGCACCTTTGGGTACCATAGGTGCTTGGCTCTATAGAGCAGAGGCTGCTCTGAGGGAGGAAATAACTCTTCAGCAAGCTCACGAGGAAACAGCAAATATAATACACCGTAAGCTTGAACAACATAAGGTAGGTAGGGCTACATACATTTGTTCTGTGCATTATATTGTTTCCGAAGCTGTAAATCATCCATAGGATACAAAAAAAGATGATTATTTCTAGTTTCTGTGGGTGGTGTCATCTTGATGGCAGCTAAAGCTAGGTGTCTTTTAGTAATGACTTGAACTATGATATTTGTGTCTCTTACAAGCAATATTCAGGATTGCTTTTGAATGTTCCTGCTTCTTCTATCTGAAAGATATCAGGTATTAATATTTTAGATATAAATATATTTTAAATATAGACAGAAATTGTTGGTGAGATGACAAAAGAAACTGAACCAGTAAATATAATAGAGAAAGGAAAAAGATGGTGTAGAGAGGCTGCACTTGCAGCAGTAAGGCTGTATTTTATATTGCTTTTTTTCTCTCTCACTAGTATTTAAAACTCGATTGTAGTTTTGTTATATTTTGTGGTTTGGATATGGGTCATTTTTTAAAATAAAAAGTAATGCCATATAAATAAAAGCTGAGAAGTTTCGTGGTCATCTTGGAACAGCTGTGACAGACAATGGTAGTTTATCTGGAAGATCAGTTGGGTCTTCTAGTTACTCTTTATTAGAATAGTGGCAGCTTTTCTGACTTAAGTGGTGGCTAATAAAACTGAAACAAAACAATATTAAAAACTATAAAGGAGATACTTGTTTTTTTTTCGAGGTCTAGTCTCTTGTAAAGCTAAATTTCATTAGCTTTCTTGTTAACATCAAATGTTTCAGGATTCATAATATTTTACATTTCTTTAAAAAAAGCAGGTCAAACATTTGTGAACACTATAGATCTCCTTTTGATACATTTATAAGAAACACCTAAACTGTGTTTTATTTGCATCAGAAATGCTGTAGTAAGGGATTTTTGAGACTACAAATAAACTTTGATTTAGGCTAGTCTGTGCCAGGGGAGTTTTCCCATGGGAGTGGGATGGGGAAATCTTCAAGAGAAGCGTGTATAATTATATCTGTTTCTGGAGTTTGTTTTGTCACTCAGATTTGCATTGATGAATCCTAATGTGCTATTGGATAGTACCAGAAGTACATTAGTGGAGTTTTTTTCAGTCCTTGTTTCCTAGGAAGTTTGGGTTTGTTTCTTAGCATTTTGTTGAGATAATATGATCACTTTCTCTGTATCTTTGTCCCATCTAACAATGGGTTATTTTAGTGAACTTTATAGCTTATGGCCGTTTTAGAGCTAATACAAAATAGAATCATAGAGTGGTTTGGGTTGGAAGAGACCTTAAAGATCATCTAGTTCCAACCCCCCTGCCATCAGCAGGGACACCTTCCACTAGACCAGGTTGCTCAAAGCCTCATCCAGCCCGGCCTTGAAAACTTACAGGGAGAGGGCAGCTTACTAGGTCAAACCTTCATGGAATCAGGCAAGTACTTAAGTTTACTTCAGTTGACATTGCCACCAAGATCCAGAAATTAAGGACAATGTCTGTGTGTGTTGAGGTTCATTTTGCATAGCAGGATTTCGCTTCATGAGAACAACATATAAAAGTTTTCATGGGCTTGCCGTTGATGTTGAATGAAGCTGTGGGTTTTATTTTTACTTACCAATGCATGCTAGGGACATTGCTTTTTGTCTGAAAAGGTCTCAAATGCAGCTAGCTGAGATATTTTTTCCAAGTCTTTCCTTATGTGAGAGTATGTTAGTCACAGGATGCCCTCAGCAGAATTTTTGCCATAGTAAGATCAGTGCATCCCTTGCATCTGAGAAAGCTTAGTTCATATCTCTTCACAGCAAGGTATTGGCTGAAGTGAAACACAATGAAAATATAGGTGGGTTGATGGGGATGGTGGGACCATTTGGTAAGCTTAGTCAGCGAATTGCCATTAATTTCCTCTGTGCAAACACTGGGCATTGACTGGAGGGAAACACTTTTTCAGCACATAGGAATAAATCTGTGATCAATACACAAGCCTGCATTTTGTTCAATCAGGTGAGAGGGGGACCTTTGTGTGATTTCCTTTGCTAACAGGTTTCTGAGCACTTTGTGCCAGAAGCTGTCTTTATGCAGTAAAATACCCACTGTTCTGCATCCTCTCAGTCGCTGGGGACTTGACATGTTACTGTCACGGTATCTCTTCAAAGACTACTGCCAGTCATTCATTTTCATATGTAATCTCCAGGAAGCCGTTTGAAGCGGTGTTGCTTAGTTACAGTTGAAATGTGCTCTGCTGTAAGGTTTTTGCTGGTACAATTCTTATCACAGGAATACAGGTCAGGTACGACATTCTGTATTCATTTGTGTCATATAGAGAGAGCGATCCTGAAATCTTTTGATACTGAGAGAGTGAAAAGCTCACTAAATATTGAATATGTACTTACATAAGGAGCCATGGATCTTCTGCGTAGATATAGTGGAGTAGGTTAGTTGCTGAAAATTTGAATCTATACTTAATACAGGTTAGTATCTGTTATAAAGATGTAAAGAGTAAATTTAGCAAGATTATATTGCTGTGATGTTAGAGTATTTGCAGACTGTGTTTCAGGTATTATTTGTTACTGTTAAGAGTTCTTGCTTTGTTAAATCTTTGCAGTGTATCCTCTGTTTTAAAATCTTCCATAATTGTTAGACACAGCTTTAGCAGAGCATGTTATAAAGGAGTTCCCTGTGTAAATGTTCAAGTTGATGTAAATGCTTTTATGGTATGCATAAGCTTGCATGCAAGTGTGAGAGCATGATCAAATAGTTAACTACATTGAGTCATCAGTGCAGGCTTTAAATTGTGCTTATTAGTTAGATAGCCTACTGTGAGCCTTCTCTCTATCTCTGTCTCCCTCTCTCGCCTGCCTCACTCTCTCAATCTCTCTTTCTTAAAATCAAATCAGGATCTGCTGAAAAACATAGATGGTCACAAAAAGGCATTCCATGAGATCCACGGGGCCAGGTCTGTTAACGGAGTGCCTGTTCCACCTGACCAATTAGAGGATATGGCAGAGAGGTAAGGCTTTCAATCTGAAATAAAAACCCTGGGTGAATGAAAGGGAACCTGTTTGCTTTTTAATCTGTTCATGTAGAAATCACTGTCTGATTATGTTTCTCAGTGGCAAGCAGGAAAAAATTGGAAGGAAGAACCTCCTATAATATACATAAAAATATACCAAAAAGCCTTATGCATTGCAGATTGATGAGAATCAAAATAAGCTGTGGGTTTTGGAAGGGAACACTTTTTAAAATTGATCCTGTTATTACTTGTCCCTGGAAGAAATGTTATGTAACAACAGCCAGGATGCATGTGAAAAAGAAAATAAAAATGACTTTGCAAAACTTAGTAACAGGTGTAAATTGATTATTTCTATGAATAAACAGAAATGTAATTAATTTTCTATTCAAGAGCAGTCATCAGAATGATAATCATGCATAATTAGATGTTTGTAGACTCTGAATTAGGTGAAAGATTAGAAAAATATCTGCATTGTAACTAAAGCTTTCAGTCTCTCCTGCAAAAAATGAATATTGCTGTATTTTACTACAGTGTGATTCATTTTATAGGTTTAATTTTGTTGTCTCTTCGTCTGAGCTCCATCTGTTGAAGATGGAGTTTCTGGAACTGAAGTACCGTCTACTGTCACTCTTAGTCCTTGCAGAATCAAAGTTAAAATCATGGATTATCAAATATGGAAGGCGAGAGTCAGTGGAACTGCTTCTTCAAAATTACATTGTAAGTTGGGGTTGTCATCTTCTTTTTTAATTATTTTTGAAATATTCATATTTTAAGATTGCTGGAAATGAATAAAAGAACAGAAACAGAAATTAGACTTGACAGTCATCAACTTTATGACTGCATTGTTATGGAATATCTTTTCAGAGGTGAATCTGTCTTCCCCATGGAGGAACACATTTTTAGTCAAAAGGCTAAAAATTAAAATGCTGTCTTTATTTCTGTTTTTGAAGAGATAATACAATGTCCTAGCTGCTAACTCTCCAACCATCAACTTAAAAAGCATATCTGGAGGTTCAAAATCCTAGATTTTTATTTACCTTACATAGCAATTCCAAAGAACTTAATTTAATCTTCTTTTACAACTGCATAGATGCACTTTATAGTGACTATAAACAGAATAAGTGTAGATAGAGATAGAGGAGGTTTTGGCCTGCAGTCTCTCATTTCTTGAAATGAAGGAAAAAAAAAAAAGTTATGCTGCCTTTGTGTGCTTGTTCAGTATACAATCTGATAGGGAGGTAATTTTATTCTTTAAAGAATGTTTTTTCTTCTCCTACTCAACATTAGTATATTAGACCACTCCTTTATATCTGTTCTGGAAAGAGATTACTCCAGCTCTTCATCGTCCATATATCATGTAAAGAAACAGAGGCTATTGACTTACAAATGCTCATTGATATGTTCTCTTTCAGTCTTATGCTACTGTATCGTGTTAAACACACACTTACAGTGCCAAGTGGCTGATAGAACAGTACCACTGCTGCACTTCTACATTAGGGCGTGAGGGATTCTTTCAAAAGCAAGGCTGGGCTAAATAATTTTTTACCCTTCTATCTAATCCATATGAGGAAAATTGCACAGGAAAATTCAGTTTGGAAAGAATTCATACAGTTACAGAATCATTCAGAGCCACGACATTGTGTTGAGAAAGTTATTGATGCCTCCACAGCCAGTTTTTATTACTTTGGAAGCAAACTTCAAGTTCAGTAAAGTTCCTCTACAAAGTGAGAATTGAAGACCTGTTCATGCTTTTCCCTTTCTATGTTTAAACTTTAGCAGTTAGGGACACATAAAATTCAGGAGTTAAGCCTTGTTTTAGACAAGCTTTGTAAAATTCAGATAGTTATTTAAAATAACATCATTTGCTAGAGTGATGTGCAACAGCTAGGAGTTATAGTCCATTTGTATCCTCTGTAAGACTGTTGAAAAAACTACTGAAAGGTGACAAGGGAAATAATGAAGAAGCAGATAGCTTGACTTTTGGATTATTGTGTTATATAACTTCCTTCTTTTTTGCTTTAAAATGAACATTTAAGTGGTGAATTTGTGATTGCCTCAATTATTCTTGTGCTTCAGACTGCTAATGCTGAGATGGTTATTAGGGGGGAAAAAATGCTTCCCTGCATCATTTATGAAACTGCATCGCATCAAAATGAGGAAATTGGGACAAGAAGACAAATAGAGCTCAGTTTCATTCCTGATGGCCTTGACTTCTGGCTCCTTCCAGGTGTCCAGTCATGGAACAAGACTTTATTTGCCTTGGCTTACTTGGGATCAATTTTCTAGGACCAAGAGCTAAGTGTTAGTTACTCTCCCAATAAATTAGGAGTCTTACAAAGGAAAGCTGTAGTCAGTACCTTATAGTCAGTGACTACATTAGTAGGAGATAAAAATGTAAGTTTGTTTGTCTGCCAAAGCAGACTGAGCACTGTCACCATTCTAGGAATGTGCATAGTTAGGATCTGGATAGAACATATGCCTGGAAAATATTTATGTGCTGTAGCTTAAAAATAAAAGTGGTGGTTGTTACTTTACCCCGTTTTCTTTTCACTTGTCTGTCATATAACAAAAGTAAAGGTCAACATAAATTGTACACCATCAACATGAAAAATAGACTGTACCAAAGTCTAAGCTGTAATGGAGATGTAATGGATAGTTATCCATGGATTTTAACCCATGGAACTCTGTTTTGACATTGATGTATGAGCAATTTTTTTAACACCATATGCTATATGGATTTCGGAAAAGCACCATTTTTTTTTTAAGGGATCTTGTCAAATGGAAGACAATATTAATCAGTAAAATGTCTATATTTAGTTTTTTGAGATATTTCCAAATGCTCTTGAGATCAGTATTATGTAAGTTGTTTGATATGGTCTTTTACTTTCTCATATGAAGTCTTGCAGTTTTTGGTTCAGGGTAAAACATCTGTGTGTATGGGTTTGGCAAAACTGAAAGTCAGGAGTTTGTCATATAACTCATGTTAAAGTATGTAAGTTTTTCATACATGCCAGATTTTTTTTTTTTTTTTTTTTTTACAGTAGAGCCGAGAAAAGTTCTGATTGTCCTTGAATTCTAGTTTCCTTGGCTCTAAACACATTTCTAAATTACCTACTAGATAACTGTGGTGATTTGGCATAGCAACTGTAAAAGATTTTAAAATAGATTTTTAGATATACTGGCTGTGAGATCAGGTTTTAAAACTGTTTTTCATGTTTATATATTTTGTATATTCATCTAATTGTCCTCTTCAAAGTACATTGAACTTTGACCTTGTTTGAAACTTGAGTTTACCAAAATCACACTAGTACACATTGTCTATTCTGACATTTCAAAGCTTGTGCAGACATATATAAGATGTATTTGCCTTAATTTTGTAGATCTGAAACTGAGGAGGCATGGTGGGTAGTATAAATCACAAAACTTTTCCAAAACTCTAACTAAGTACATTACGTAAGGCAAGATAAACGTCCTGTAAAAAACCCAGGGTTTTGTCCCTTTTTCAAAGTGGTAATGCAAGACATAATATGCTTGCATAATATAGAGATATAATTATATATTGCACTTAAAGGAAGTAGCATTTCTGGAAGACCTTTAAAAAAACTCTGTGTCATTTGCTATAAGGGATAAGGATGCATAAATTATAAAAAACCATAACTTTGTAACCAAAATGTTTCCAGATAAATTATTCATCATGCTATAACTCATTGCACAGCTAAAACTTCACTCACAAAGGAAAAGTCCTGTATCACACTTTGAAAAAGCAGCATCTGTTTATGCAGTGTTTCCTTAATCTTATTTTTACCAATTACAAAGGAGGAAAAGGAAAACTGAAGGATAATTCATTTCTTCTGCAGAGGCTTCATACAGGAATGATTTTTACAGTTTAACTGTGTTTGATTTTTGTTGTATCCTATATGGATGATTTTTTTTTTCTTTTATTAAAATGATTACACTTTAGATTTCTGTGTAAAACAGTTTGCATTAAATAACTTTTAAGTTAATTGCCCAGTTTCTGCACATTCAAAGTAACATATGCTGGTGACTTTCAGCAAGGCAGCAACCAGCTGTCTAAGAATGTATTAAATAATCACAGAATCATAGAATGTATTAGGTTGGAAGGCACATTCGAAGGTCATCTAGTCCAACTCCCCTGCAGTAACCAAGGACATCTTTTCTAGAGCAGGTTGCTCAGAGCCCCATCAAGCCTGACCTTGAATATCTCCAGGGATGGGGCCTCTACTACCTCTCTGGGCAACCTGTTCCAATAATCCACCACCCTCATATTGAAGAGCTTTTTCCTAACATCCAACCTAAGTCTACCCTTTTCTAGTTTAAAACTATTGCCCCTCGTCCTATTGCTACATGCCCTTGTGAACAGTTCTTCCTCAGCTTTCTTATAGGCACCTTTCAGGTGCTATGAGGTCCCCCTGGAGCCTTCTCTTCTTCAGGCTGAACAACCCAAACTCTCTCAGCCTGTCCTCGTAGGAGAGGTGCTCCAGCCCTTTGACCACTTTTATGGCCCTCCTATGGACATGTTCCAACAGGTACACGTCCTTCTTATGTTGAGGGCTCCAAAACTGGATGCAGTATTCCAGGTGAGGTCTCCCCAGAGTAGAATAGAGGGGCAGAATCACCTCTCTCAACCTGCTAGCCACAATTCTTTTGCTGCAGCCCAGGATGCAGTTAGCCTTCTGGGCTGCAGATGCACATTGGTGGCTCATGTCCAGCTTTTCATCCACTACTACTGCGAAGTAAATAAATTGTATTTGAAAAGAGAGACTGCTGTACCATTTATTTGAAAAGGTAAAATATATAGGTTATTTTATAATGATGATAATTTAAATATTCTTTTATAATAATGAAAAAAAATGAATAGAGAATACTGAAGTTAGAAGTTGTCATCACTGTCCTGGTGTAGTTTCATTTAAATTATCCTTATTCTTAATAACGATCTTTATTTTGTCTGTTGCATTTTTTTTCTTTTCAGTCTGTTATTGAAAATAGTAAGTTCTTTGAGCAGTATGAAGTTACTTACCAGATCTTGAAACGAGCAGCTGAAATGTATGCCAAAGCAAATGGTTCAGGTAAATGCCTAAGTTTCTTTTGTCATGAGGACACAATTTTAATGTCTTTAGACATAAATATCCCCTAAAAAGATCTCCTAATACTTATTCCTTCCATGCAGCAGGGCTGCACAGCACCTGCAGTCCATCAGAAGGAGGCTACAGCCTGTTGTAGCAATTTCACATTTTCTCTAGCATGAACAAAGCTGGTACAGAGCAGCCTGCCCTCCTGCTCTTAAGATTGCTTAATCTCCAGAAGAGGGTGGTCATGTTCAGACTTCCTAATGGGAGAAATCCGTGGTCCATACTAACTTCTGAATTGTTCCAGCATTGTTGATTTGTGTCTAAAGTGTGCCAGAGACCAAATTATGACTGGGAAGATCATGTTGTGGTGACTAGAAATGCTCCCCGGCTTGGCTTAATTCACTGGAAAACCACAAATAGAGAGTTTGTCTCAGTAAAGTAGCAAAACTATTCCCTGATTTATTGAAGATTTTTCATTAACTGTTAAAACCAATAAGAGGAACCCAAATGATAGTTGAAGTATGGATATACATGTGGAAAATGTGTAGTTGATTCAACAGCTGCTTCCTGTAATTCCTGAGTACTGCTGAGTTCAGTGAGAATGCATGAGGGCAGTATTTGACCTAGATAGTTACAGACATGAGATCACTTTAATCTCTGCTGAGGAGATAACATGATAATGTCGGTGGAGGGTTGCAGCAGCTGGTAGAGTGATTAGCAGTTGTGGAGAGAATATGGATATATTTTTTTGTTGTGAAATTTAAGTTAATGATGGTGACACCCAAATTTTACAAAAGTGAGCATTTTTTACAAGGTATTTTTACAAAGAATAAAATTAATAGATTTTTTCAATGCTATTTAAAAAATCCAGTAAGAAATTCTTTTCTAAAGTGCATCTGCTTACTTATATGAATTCAGAAACAACAGTGCAAATTAGAGGACATCTTAGCTAAAAAATGTTTTTTAAATTATCTGTATTCTGCTTGTTTTATGAAGTCTCAGGATTTGCTTGGGTCCTTTTTCTTCTCTCTGTTTTTGTCTTCTGGAATGAGGACACATTTGCTGTTTTATTGCCATGAGGTAAATACTAAAAATTAAATTGCAGAAATAAATAGCAGTTTGGTTTTAAAGTAAGTGGAAGAAGGATCAGAATTTAATTCAGTACTTTTCAATGCAGATATATCTTTGTACATTATGCATCTCTATTATTTTCTGGTTTTTTCAGAAAACTTTGTCTTGATTTCTTTTCTTACAGATTAGAAATGAACAAGACACTGAATATGCAGTGTGATTCTTTTAATATAGCATTCATTTTATGTACTTTCCTTAGTCTTTAATTCACAGGTTTAATTTCTTTGTTGTAATTTTGCATTAAAATAGGTCTGCGAACTGAGCATATGTATATAAAAGCCTACTGAAATAGAATTCACAGTAAAATATAATTCCCCGATGAGAATGCATAAGCATAATATAAAATTAAGTTTTACAGAAATAATAATGAACCAAAATAATCAATGTCTTTCCTGTATGTCAGTGGAAGAAGTTGAGAATGTGATGAAATTCATGAATGAAACAACAGCACAATGGAGGAACCTCTCAGTAGAGGTGAGAAGCGTAAGAAGCATGTTGGAAGAAGTAATTGCTAACTGGGACAGATACAGCAGCACTGTGGCAGGTCTACAAGCTTGGCTGGAAGATGCTGAAAAAATGCTGAATCAGCCTGAGCATTCTAAAAAGGTATGCACTAATAACATATGTGTCTGGCTATTTTGTAAATTCTGAGACATGGGATATGTTTTTGCATTTGCTTAGGTTGTTTTACAAAATGTCACACAAGAGAAGATATTTTTTCACTTTCTGGCATACTGTCGACATTCATGATAGTTGTTTCAATGTTTGCACATACTTTGTGTACAGACATGTACACGCAATGAAGGAAAGCATCATCTGTGATACCATGGTTAGAGACATTTTTTACATTAATATAGGGCAGCAGTGTTGTTCAGAGATAGGAATGTTACATGTTTCACCCAAAGGCAAATAGGGCTTTTAACACCAAAGTACATGATTATGTGCTGCATATAAAGACACTTAAAGACAATTATTTTTTCCACTGATTTTTCTACCATATAGATGACAGATCTCAATATCAGTTGCCTTCATAAGACAACATTATTAATATATGTTGTTATGTTTGATGGGTAATTAATCAATTTCCCTGTCCTTTTAGGAATGTTTTAGACAATTCCTGTTGGGGACCTACAGTTATAAAGATAATTTTTTTCTCTTCTAGTATTAGAGTACTGAAGCACTAAGATTTATGTTTGTGAAACTTCAATAATGACCCAGATTGATTTGAAAAATACTGCATTTAATAGGTGTCACATTTTCACCCCATCCCAACGTAGCAGCTATACAAGTCTTCAGACCAAAGTGTGGTTATAATAGGTTGTAAGATCAGACTGACATCAGGTCAAGAAGGACCATTTCATGTCACATGACAGAACAGTATAATTCTTGTTAAAAGTTTGTAAATTTAAATTGATGCAAAAGAATGTAATACACTTTTTAAATAAAAAATATACCTGTGAAAAGGTTTCAATTGACTGGTGTAACATAAATACCAGCAGTTATTATTACTGAGCAGGAAGAATAACCTCAGCTGATCAGATTGATCTTAGCTCCATGTATATGTTTTATGTAAGTAACTTGGTAATGTTTGAAATGAAATATTCTTATATTCATATATATGAATAAAATAAAAATATTTACTTCTCTGGTCAGTTTTATAACTTTACCTTTAAAGATTTTCAAAGCAGGAAACAAGGATGCGAGTAGTTTACTCCATGTACTTTTTCCTTCTTGACCTCTAGTAAGCCTGATCATTGGAGAACTAGCCAGTGCCACATTCAGTAGACTTTATTTTTGGATGTGCTCACAGGGGGTAACACTTGCATAAAGCAAGGGTTGTGCTCCACTGCGAGTCGAAGACTCAAACTGCACATACAATTTGCTGACATGATTAAGTTTATTCACTGATACATCGGTACAGAGCACCTGTACTCTGCTCATCTCAGCTTTAGGAATTTGGAACACTGTATGTTGTTCAGTTCTCTCTTCAACAAATTTGAATAGTATATATCCATTTGATATTTTCTTTTTGGTTGTATCAGAACTGTTTTTTACATATGGATGAGTTCTGACAAGTATAAACTATCATGTTTCAGAACTGTAGCTCTGAAACTTGGGATGACAGTACAGGTAGACAGAACTTTTTCACATCTATCCCTGGGTGAAAGATTGCATGGGACTGTCACTATTAGATGAACAGTTTTGGAATTGTAGGGTAGATCAATAGTCTTAAATAAAGTGGGTCAGTGCCCTTTCCTTAGTCCGAAGGACCAAGTGACATGGTTCAGCTTGCATCCTTGTGGCTACTCTTTCTTCCCTGAAAGAAGGTGGTCTCATGATTCAGTCTGTTGGGAACAGTTCTTGCCATGTGTCATCCCTTGAACTGTGCATTGTTTGGTAGAAGGGTAGCAGGCACAAGCCAAAGCCACATCAGAGAAAATGTGGACAATCATGGGACAGTGATTGAGTCCTGTTTTGTTCACTGTTATATCTATAGTAATAGTTCCTGGAGATACCTGCCTTAGGAACAACTGTCCATCCTCCTGAAGAGCAAAAAGGAAGGGAGGGACTTGGTCTTTGTCTTCTCTACCAATTTACGTGTGCATACCTGCCTACAAGATGCACAGAAACCTTTGGCACTATGGCTGGGCTATTTAGGCTGTCTCACTGAAACAGGGGGAAAAAGTCAGTGAAAACCATCCCTTTACCCTCCCTACTCATCCTCTCTGAGGTTGGAGGAAGCAGCAATAAACAATCAGTCATCTTAGGTCTTCTGGGGTGCCAGAACCTGGAAAGCTGCATACAGTTCACAGTAGGAGAATAAGCTCTCTACAGTCTGTTTACGGCCCAGGTTACTATCAGCCCATACTGTTTCAAGACAAGACAGAAATTAGATGAGCTCTAGGAGTGTTTTCAGTGAAGAAACTTGCTCTTAAGGAGGAGTTCCATTAGTTTAACTGAAGCTACTCACTGGAGTAAAATGAGCTGTAAGTAAACTGGTGATAGTTTTTCATTCCATAGGTTATGTTCACAGACATTGAAATTCTGTTATGGCATATCCAATATGAAGAGCTTCCAATGATAATTGTTCAAAGAGTTTTATCAAGCCATTAGCTGGTGATTTGTGATAGTTTCACTGGGTTAGCCCTTGGCTAGCAGCCAACACAGCCATTCACCCACTTCCCCCCCACCCCCAGACAATAGGGGAGAGGATTGGGGGGCAAGGATAAGGAGGCTTGTAGGTTGAGACACTAATTTAGCTTATTAATTTAAATATTCCTCACCCTCTTAAAGCTTGTGCTTGTGGAATAACAGAACACAAAGTCCTTCACTTCCAGCAGCAAAAATGCAAACACCGTTACGTTATCAGTGTCTCTCTCATAACAAGTCTCAGGCTGAAAAGCAAAATGCAGCACTATTCTAACTACTGAAAAAGAAACCCAGCTCTGTTTAAGCTAAAAACCATGACATGATTACATTTTAGTTTCATGATTTAGGATAAAGACTAAATGAAAAGGTTTCAGAAAAGTGTTTTCATTTTCTTGTTCAGGATTTCTTCCGGCACTTACCTCATTGGATCCAACAGCACACAGCCATGAATGATGCTGGTAATTTTCTGATTGAGACATGTGATGAGACCATTTCCAGAGACCTTAAACAGCAACTTCTGTTACTAAATGGAAGATGGAGAGAATTGTTTATGCAAGTTAAGCAGGTATGTGTTTTTGCTGTTGTTACTTTTAAATGTTTACTTGGTCATTTCCATGCAAACCAGACAAATTTGCCCCACTAGCAGGTCTATAGGACATCAGTGCCTAACTGTTTGTCATTATTTAAATTAGAAATTAATCCTGACACCAGTTTATTTTATTGGGGCTTTTCCTTTGTTTATCTTTTTCTTTATACAGCTTTTATTTTTGGACATTTTCAGCTAGTATAAGCTGTAATTTTTATTTATGGTCTCCTGCCTTGATACAGTGAATATTATTTATGCATATCCTCTACTTTTCTTCAAAGAAAATTATTGATTTTAAGTAGCTATTGTTACTGTTAAAGCTCTGTAAAACTAAACAGTAAAAATAAATAAAGTTAAAGTGAATATTTTTGCTATTCTTTAATGAAAGTTGCATTCCATTTCTGTACTGCAACCATAAGCAGGTACAATGCAAGTTAATCAACTAAATGTTTTCCCCAAATTATTGGTCAGACATTAATTCTATCTTGTGCATAAGGAAGCACTGATAGTAAGTGAAAAAAATCACCCTTTATTTCATGGAAGAAATTCAGCTGATTGTAATTTTTTTTTCTATATTTGCTCTTTAAAAAGCAAAGAGAAGATACGAGCTAAATTACACAGAAGTATTTCACACCTCATAAACATATTAGAAAATATTTTTCCTATAGTCAATATACACCTAATGATATTTCCCCTTTCCAGTGATTTTAAATAGCAGTTGCCTATTTGAAGATACTGAATCTATTTTCTTTACTAGCATGATTATTTCCATTGCAGTCATGTTAAATGGAAAGGCAAATAATGATTGTCCCTTTTTTGTTGTAACTTTTCCAAATTTTTGACTAGAAAATTCTTAAGCTTTTTTTCCTGATGATATTTAGGGTGATTCACTGTGGAAACAGTAAGGCTCAGTATGTAAATGTCTCTTCCCCTACTTATGCAGCTTCTTTCATGTGCTGGTTATATAGTTTTTCTCACTAGCTTTTCACCATTTCTGTCATACAGCTCTTTCTATTTTCTAAGATCTGTGTTTCCCCTTCCTCCAACCAGCAGTTCTTTTACTGAAATTTCTGTTATCCTTCAGCTTTTCTATGCTTTTCATGTTCTCCTTGCTGAGTTTTCAAAATTGATGCTATAGGTAATGAGAAATGAATTAAGATGTTGATTCTAGGTTAGAAACAAATTAAAGTCTGGCATTCTCCAAATGATCCAAACCTTTAAAAAGGCTGAGCTCTTGTATGAATATTGTTCTTTTTAGTATGAGCACTATTGAAACAGATGCAAATAATTAGTGTCTAACTAATTTAGACTAGTTTCCATTATTTTGTACTGAAAACATGCTAATTCTCCTAAGTCATTACTTAATTGCCAGATATCTCATTTGGAGTGGTTATTTTTTTGTTTGTTTCTTTTTACTTTACATGTTCCTAGTATGCTCGAGCAGATGAATTGGACAAAATGAGGAAGGAATACTTGGATGGTGTTGCCCATTTGACAGCTTTTATTGATGGAAGCAATAGGAAATTTTCAGTCCCTGTAGAAGTGTCCTTCCTTGATGTCAAAATGTTTGTACAAGATTTAGAAGTAAGTGTCTTCCTTACATTCCTTTCTTTCTCCTTCATAAGAGATAAACTTGCAACTATTTAAATCTGAGAGCATTAAATTATTTTAGCATACATTTCCGTTATTACTATTTATTCTACTAGTGGTGCTTTTTGTATAATTTCTGTTTTCGCAAATAGAAATCATTGTATTTTATGAGTGACATTTCCAAAACACTGTCCTGTTGGATATTTCTTTCTATGTAGTTTCAAATCACATTCAGGTGAGCTGACTTTGTCACAGTTTTCATGCATTTGAAA